ACATTTGGGTGGTGGCAAACTCCTTAATTTCTTTTTCACATCATTAGTTTTGGGGAGACTTTGCTTTACGGTGGCTCTCCTTTTTGTCATCCTTGCCATTAACCCTCTTGCTTAACTTACAATTACAAAGTTTACCATTTCCTAATCAATTCCGGTTCCTTTTACTGTGTGTTGCTCATTCAGTCACCACTACTGTGCTGCTGTGATTCAAGGTAGGTTAGCTGTTGTCAAATTATGCAGATCACAGTCACACAGTGCATATCTAAGAAAGTAGCTGGGTAAGAGACAACAAATCAATCCACAATTCATCAAATATATCAACGGCAGATCTTTTTTGTGGACATTATTTAGTTGAGCAGGCAGACTTGCTTTGCTTCTAATTAGATGACAGCTAATGTCAGTGGTAGCTGAAAACTAAGGCAGTACATATATTTATATATATATATATATATAAGTATAAAGCAGTGGTATCTGATTTAGGGGTCAGAAAACCATCTAGATTTTCTTGCTTTATTTAATTAGGGGGGATCTAAAGTAGTCTGATTTCACTTGATGGGTTTTCAGCTTTTTTGGTAGAATAGATCTTTGCAGCCTAAATTTGTACAGTTTACTCCTAACATGGGCTGCACTTCAATAATGGGAACCCATGTTCTCTTCCCCCGGACATTATTAACGTGTGAATGCTATGTATTTTTCATTATTCCTTCTTATTTTTCTACCTGTTTACAATAGTATCTTGTAAAACTACGTGTTTGCAAGATACATTTTGCTCCTTTATAAATTAGTTATCAAACACATACTTTTTTATTCATTTGTTCCTTTACCTAACTTCATGTCATGTTTATTTTTCTCTATTTCCCACTAATTAAATTCCATATTTCGACTAATTAATCGAATTATTCGCAAGCATTTCGGCTGTTGAAGTTATTCAACATCAAGCTCAATGAAATATGTAGCAAAAGGAAAAAAATAAAAAAACTAAAAGCTTGATGGAAATATCGATGTTCTGAGAAATACGAAAATATTAATACAAATGGTTATGTAGGGTGGAAGGGAACATTTGACCTAAATTAGTTCAAAGCTCCTCATTCCTCTAAATGATGGAAATTACAAATTTTATATTTAGTAGCCCTTTTCTAGTTTTCTTGTCGGAATTAAGATATGGTCGAGCAAGAAAATCAAGTAAATTAACAATTGAATAAAGGTCAAGGGCAATAGAGTAAAAACGAAGAGAACGAGGGGCAAAAAGGAGATAAGAGAGTATATCTATAAAGTGGAGAGAACGGCGCTGTGTGCTGTCCTTTCCCGATAAGCCCGGTAATTTGCTCAAATGGGGAAGATAGCAAACCAACTCTCTCTCTCTCTTTCTCTCTCCTCCTTCACTTCTTCCTCTTCACTGTTCATCACTTCAACTACTTAACCCTTTAAAAACCCAACTTTTCTTTTTTCAGTTTTCAGTTTTTGAACCTCTCCCTCCACTCCGCATCAATTTCCCACTTTCCATTTCCCAATTTTTTTTTTTTCTGGTTATTTTCTTACCCGCCAAACACACCAACAACCCTAACACCCTCCCTCCCTCCTCCCAACCCATCTCCAATTCTAAGCTCACAAGCACACGTGTAGCTTCTGTGAGTCTTTTTGTCACTCAATTTTTCATCTTTATGCAAAACAAATCTCAAAATTTTCAACTTTTTTGTTTATGGGTTCTTTGTTTAGGTTAGTTAAGGGTGCTTTCTGATCTTTACCGGAAGCCAGGAGTTGTGTGTAAAAAAAAAGCCTGGTTCTTTGTTTAGGTTGAATTTTACAGCTTTAATTCTAGTTATTATTATGACCTATATTTGTAAATTTGTAAATTTGTAATTAGCATGGGGGGGTTGGGAGATTTTGGAGGTTGGGGAAGGGGAGGCAATGGGAAGGGTTTTGTTTTAATTGATGTTTTTGCAGCAAAGGAACTGATCCCATCAAAGTTTTAATGCGCAGATCTGTGAGCTTTGGATGGTCAAATCTCAAATGCTTATGAATCTGCAGACAAAAGAATCACACTGCTCTACGTTTGTTTGGCTGTACTTGTAAGTTGTAACAATCAGAGCTTTTGACACCTGTACCAAATCAAAACCCACACAACATTGTTCAAGGTTTGAATTTTTTCCCCATATTTTAAACCAACACTGTTGCTGTTGGTGTGTTATTGCTTAATATATATAGAGTGGAGCACGAATATGTCCTGGCATATATAGGGAGGAAGCAGAAGCTGTTTACTGCTTCTGCTTTTGTGCTTCAGCTTGAATCTGAAGCAGAAAAGAGCTCACATACATCAGAGGTTTATGGGGGAGAGGGAAGGGGGAGGATAGGTCTTTTTTTCTCTTCTTTTTTCTGTTTCTACTTTGGTTATATTTAAAGCTCATCTTCTTTAAAACCCTTTTGTTAGGTTTAGGCATTGAGCTCTGAGTCTGTGACTCTGTTTTTGTTGTACAATTAAAAAGGGCTTTTACTTCTGTATTTTATGATATATATATATATATATTAGGTACTTATCTTCTTTGTTGTCATTTTTAAATTAAGAAGAAAAAAATGGGAAAGGAAATTTGACTGTTTTGCTTTGTTGGGTTTGCAGGGCTGAGAGGCTGAGACTCTGAAGACTAAATTGTGCAGGCTTTGGTTTGCTGCTTTTTTTTTTTTTGGACGAATTGGTTTGCTGCTTGCTTTTGAAAGCACTCTGCAAAACTGCAAAAAGCTTTAGACGAGAGAGAGAGAGAGAGAGCCCCCTGACTTGGACCGTGATATATCACCAGCGTAAAAAAGGCCTTTTTATCACAACACAGCCAAAGTACCCTCTCTGAATTATCGTCATCAATGCATAGGACACAGCAGCCCCACCTGCACTACTCTCATCACACCACCACATCCTCTTTCTCTCTCTAAAATACTACTTACTCAGTCTCCCAAATTCAACCCCTCTTCTCTCTCTCTCTCTCTCTATAGATATTACTAGAGAGCAGCTGGTGGTTGCAAAGCAAAAAAAAAAAAACAAGAAAGTCCCCAAATTGAATGAGTCTTTGTTTGAGAAAGGCATGAAAGTACTGATATGGAGGTGGAGGAGATTCAAGCCCAAGCCTGTAAGTTCCCAAGAATTGGAAATGGCAGCAGCAGAGCCACTAACCCAGCTGCCGACGACGAAGATCAAGACCCATCGTGCCTAGACCTCAAGAGGGCTGCCACTGCGGACGCCGGCAACCGCCTCCGCGGGTGGCACCACTCCCGCATCATCCGCGTCTCGAGGGCCTCCGGCGGCAAAGATCGGCACAGCAAGGTGTGGACTTCAAAGGGGCTCAGAGACCGGAGGGTACGGTTGTCTGTAACCACAGCCATTCAGTTCTATGATCTTCAAGATCGGCTGGGTTACGACCAACCCAGCAAAGCAGTGGAGTGGCTGATCAAAGCTGCCGCTGACGCCATAGCTGAGCTTCCATCTCTCAACAATTCCTTCCCTGACACTCCCAAGCAGCTCAGCGATGAGAAGAGGGCGAGTTGCGAGCATGGGTTTGATTCAGCTGAGGTTGAGCTCGAGGGGCACGGCCATGGCGACCCCAATTATCATCAGAACCAGAACCAGACTCAGAACCACAGCCAGCACCTTTCTCTGTCCAAATCTGCTTGTTCTAGTAATTCCGAGACCAGCAAGGGATCCGGGCTGTCTCTCTCCCGGTCCGAGATCCGGGTCAAGGCCCGTGAGCGTGCCCGGGAGAGAACAGCCAAGGATAAGGAGAAGGAGAGCAACGAGTCAGCTTCACACATTGCTCACCACCACCAGCAAAACAGCAGCAACATGAACAACTCCATTTCTCAAAGCGCTTCGTTCACCGAGCTTCTCACTGGTGGCATCGGTACCAACAGCAGCAACAACAACAACAGTCCAACCGCAGCTGCTCATCAGCAGCAGAACCACGGCGGCGGCGGCGAGCCCATTTTGTTCCACAAGGCAGCAGCGGCAGGAGGAGGACCGATGGATTACTTCAGTTCCGGACTTCTCGGGCTGTCCTCGTCGACCAGAACCCACCACACGTCCGGGTTCTCGAGTCAAATCCATTTGGGGATAAACTCCATTCCGCAGACAATGTCGGTTGTGTCCCCATTCAGCGTGTCCGGGGATCATCATCACAACCACAACCCGGAGCTTCAGCATTTCTCGTTTGTTCCCGACCACCTCATCCCCGTTACGACGTCGTCGCAGCCGGGCAATGGCGGTGACTACAATCTCAACTTTTCGATCTCTTCTTCCGGCGGCCTTGCTGGTTTCAATAGGGGGACCCTTCAGTCCAATTCTTCCTCATCACCGTCTCTTTTGCCTCACCACCTTCAGAGGTTTTCTCCCATAGACGGATCATCCAATGTACCCTTCTTCATCGGAGCCGCGGCGGCTCCAACCATGGAGAACCACCATCACCACCACCACCACCATCAGCAGCACCAACAGCAGTTCCCAGCTGGGTTTGATCGCCGCTTGCAACATCCCTATGGCGACGGAAGCCGGCATTCAGACCACAAGGGAAAAGCAAAGAACTGATCTTGATCATGATCAGTCATTGGCAGCCCATCTAAGCTTCTTTCTGGTAACCGTCAACAGTCGTAATTTTTTTTTTCTTCCCAATAATATAATATTTTCTTAGTTGCTGCATTGTTTGCTTCTCTGTTTCTGTGCTTGTATTGTTTGGTTTCATAAACTTTGCCTGATATTTGAGTAGCTAGGATACAGTCTAGAGGTATAACCTAGCCAGCACATATGTTAATTTGTTTTGTTTTTAATTTTTCTGATTGCCTTTTTGGATTTACGTGTTTTGCATTGAACCTTTGTTTTGCTTTCTTGGTAATCATAAACAAGTGAGGCCATTGGGCCAAGCGTTTTATGGGTGTTACCTATAATATATTGTATGCCTCTGCTTTTGATTCCTGCATGGATTGGAGTGAATGGGGATCGGCTGGTTGTCTCCTCGTTTGTTCTCTTGTTGGTTCCCTTCTCTCTTAGCATCTCCTAAGTAATGAGTCCATTGCTGACAGGTGTTGCCCTGCACTTGGCCGGGCCATGTGTTTTTCACTCAGAGCCCCTTTTTCTGGTTAGCTTTAGGATCCTTAATTAGTTTGTTCTTTTCTGCCCTTCCAAGCTGCACCACATGGCAACTGCTCGGCGCACTGTCGGCCGTTACTTGTATATATATGTTTGCCTGGAGCCTGGAGTTGTTGCTTTTGTTAATTATCATGGAGATTCGACAGCTAAACTTTCAGCACTTTTGTTTGCTTGCCATGAGACCTAGCTTTGGTTCCTTTCCTTTGTACAGCCCATGCACGTATGCAGGCGCTGGATTTCTGTTTTAGAAAATTTTGTTATGGGATTAGTAAAGTTGCTTTAATCTATATGTATGCATTCTCATCTGTACGAGAAATATAAAAATGTCTATATATATTATGAAAAGGGAAAACAAGTTCCTATTTATGAAAAGGGTAGCGATTTTCATACTCTTGTTTTATCGGTTTGCACTCACCCTCTTATTTTTATGCTTTGATTACTTTGTTTACACAATTAACAAAGTAGAAAAATAAGAGGGAGAAATGCAAATGTATAAAATAGGTGTGTAAAAATCATCACCGGAGAAAAAAAGACAGTAAGAAATGGAGAAGAAATATGATATGAATAAGTATGAGTAAAAGAACTAAAATATCTTTGATCGCAGATGTTAATTTAGTTTCAGTTTTATTCAGTCTCAGCCCTTTCTACTTCTCATATGGCTCTTCTCTATTTATCTTTTCTTCTATGTCGTTTCCTTTTTTGTTTGCTTGAGAAAAAACAAAAACCAAAAATGTTATCAAACGAATCCTAAAATATATGAGAAATAGATAATTTACATATATATGAAGGCTTGAGATCACAATTTTTGAAGTGATTAATTAACAGTTAACATGAACTTATATTTACGTATAGGGTAATGCTAGACTTACTGCATTTATATACCATATTGTGTTAACATCACGTAATATAGTTGACAATGGTTTTTGTAGTGTAAAATTTTGATCTAATTGAAGCTCCTCAAATGCTATACATATATATATACATATACTTTGGGTAGAAATATCATTTTTCTCCTGTAAGTGGGGCATTAGGGGAAGAAAGTAATGGATACAAAACTGACATTATTCTTGGTAATATATGTATCTATATATATTATATATTTTGACTGAATTGGTGGATTCGAATTTAGGACATATTTCAACATGGATCTCGAGCCTATGCATTTTGCATTGGTGCATTTACATGCATTTAAAAGAATGCAAATCATTAAATTAATCTAATTATTTTAGTAAGTCCACATCAACAAGCTTGTATTAAACTAAAAACTAATCAATTGCACCACATTATTTCCCTAGCAATGCAACCCTCCCGTCTTCCTTCCTCCCTCCCTCCTTCTCTCCTCTCTCTCCCTCCCTTACTCCCTAACCCACACTGCCAGCCATGGCTGCCACCTCCGTCTCCCTCCTGCACTCCCTCCCTCCCTCGATGAGAGGTGGGTACGGAGGTGGTGGCCATGGCTGGCAGTGTGGGGTAGGGTGTGGTTGCGGTTTGTTGGGGAAATAGTAATGTGCAACTAATTAGTTTCTAGTTTAATACAAGTTTGCTGATGTGGACTTATTAAAATCATTAGATTAATTTAATGCGCATTCTTTTAAATGCGTGTAAATGCAGAGGGTCGGGATCCTTCTAACATTGGAAAGAGAGCTAGTTCATCATTCTCTAAAGAATATTTTGAATTTATTAGTAATATGTTTAAGGGGTCATATGCTTAAGAATTGAGATCCATACTTGTACTCGGCAAGCCAAGAATATCGGCATTATATTGTACAATGGCCCCATTATATTATTTCCATGGTTTTATCTCAAATTGAAGAGATTCCGTATTTGAAAAATGGTGGCAGATCTGAATAACTGCCATTAATAGGAAGTTTACATAACAAGTAAGCTTCATGTAATCATTTGAGTCTTATAATGATGTAAAATATGATCATCCTTTTAATACAAAGCTGGCTATATAGTGGTTCTATGTTAGTATGGTAGCAAAAGCAATATTACAGTACAAATAATGGTCTATTGTCAAAAGAATTTAACATATTACAGTGTTCAACTATCAATTTGAACCGCACATTCGACAAGTACCTACTTGTCAATTGTTTAGATTGAGACTTTGACAAGAGATCGTATACCCTTCCTTCTTCGTTTTCCCAGCTCCAAGTTTTGCTTCCAGTTCTTGCAAATCACCTTTTCAATGCTTGCTTGGTTATGTCTCACTCTTTAGACTTCCTTGAAAGCTTTAGCTATTGTTTTCCAGTATTCTAAAGTAGTACCTTTTTTAACTAATTGATTTGAATGTTTTGCTTTGTATTGGTTAATGTTGCAAATTCTTGTTTGAGATTCTCATCCTACCATGTTCTCCGTTTTGTTGGGACATGCTTCTTGAGGATGGAATTATCAGAACCTCGGAGTCACTTGTGGTGCCACTTAAACGTACCATGTGAGAGAGACCATAATACCACAATTAAAATATCTTTGGTGATGTGTGTGTCCTGTGAAAATCTAAAAATATAATATGTGAATATATGTGTAACTACAAAGAATCGAGATGCTTAGTCATAGGTACTGATCGGAGTTCCTAGATGTTATTCTATTCTTCTTGTGTTGAATTGATTACAAGAAGGTACCAGATGAATCACTATAACTTGGTTTGTTTCACTTCACCCGCATTCTCACACTGACATTAGAATAACAATGATAACAGTGTTTCTCACAAAACAAACCCTTCACACTAGGAAGCCTCATAAGATGGCAGTTGGAAGAAAGAGATGAAGCATGTGTCTTCTTCTTTACCTTTCCTGCATTTCTTTCTTTTAATACTTGTATTAGTTTGGCTAGTTGAGTAATACAGGCATGTCAATATGAGGCAAATATTGCAGTTGTTCATTGCTTAAAAGGAAGGAAACAAATTTGTGAAAAACAGGGACAGGGTGAAGGTTATTTCATCCCTCCGGATTGAAGGATTAGGGCACGAGCAAAACAAATAATAAAGGATATAGGCCTCAATAAATGTTATAATTTTTCATATGGAACTGGTTATTCCTGAGTATATATGTAGTATGTCAGATGGTGAGATAAAAAAGACTTTAGACAAGTGCATGGGAGATTGTTGTATAGAATTGAACCGCAATTGAGGGTTTTGAGCCTTATATAAATAAGTACTTAATCCCTGGTTTAGTATTGTAGTAGATGCATGGCTTTCAGAGATAAGGGTAGGGGTAAAAGAAGCTTTGCATTGTTTGTGATATTTTTGAGGAAGTTAAACAGATTGTTCAAAGGTATGCTAGTGACACTGGTTTAAGTAGATCGAACAAGCTAAGCACAAATTTTACTATGGAGTTTACTATGATTTTTGTTTTTTGCATGGAAAAGAAACTCATGTGACCGAAGAAACTTGAACCCAAAAACTCACCCTCTAACCCATACTTGTGGGGAGAGGAAATGCGTGCCATCAGGCTTAAGGTGAAGTCAAGTTCATCAATAGGATTGAAGCTAGTCCTCCCACCCATATGCATTCTACATTGGTTTTTTCAGTCTCATTAAATTAGTGTTGTTTTAATGTCTAATGTCAAGTAGTTACAAGATTCTGCTTTTGCCATGGGAAGAGAGAGGATAAATTCATGCTGTCGATTTTGTGAACTCATAATACTGGGGATTAGACCAATGCTTGATATCTCTTAGGATTTTACTAGTGGCAGATCATGTTATTGGATACTTTGATCCTCTTAAGAGCTTCTCGGATACCTAGTCCAAGTGATCCTTGTATTGTTTGTGATTGCTGTATATGTTTGCCTTTAATAGTGTTGTGAACTTGTGAGATTTTAGGCCATGAAAGCTTCATATCAGTTGTGCAGCTTTTGATCTTTAAGTTTTCCAACCTATTGGAGTTGCTTGATGACAGTAAGATTGTAATAGCCTGCATAAAAATTCATCAACTTCTGTCAGGAAATTGTTTGAGTTAAAGGTGGCACCAACTTAACCTAGCTAGGGGAAGGGTCTCACTAAATCTCTAATGACAGTTATTTCTTGATGATTGCTTTTGTTAGTTAGACATGATATATAGGATGCTTATAGTATTTCCATGTTATAGCATGCAACATTCTCAAAAGAGTTTCTAAGTAACTGTGAATTAAGTGTCAATTTCCCTGTTATTTACACTGCTCAAATTAAGCATCATATCTGCCTGACTAACTTCTTCTGTCTATAAGGATCCTTATACCAAAAGTTATATGATGGAATTATGGAATATTGTATATTGTACAGGAAATGGAAATCCCTCATAATGATTGCTGTTATCATCATTAATATCAAAATCTTCATTCATTAACCAAGAAAACTTTATTGTTATGCGAAAACCTCCTTGTTCATTAGATTACTTCGTAATTGATCCATGTATCTCTTCTTCATTGTTGCAGGAAAGTGAAGCTAAAGAAGGAGTGGCAAGCTGTGAGTGAAGTGAATGCATGCATGCTTCCCCCGCATCGGATGATACTTATTATTACCCTTCTGAAATTGTTGGTATTTCTGCTTTAACCATTTTGATGTCATGCAGCTTCGATTTGCTATATTCGATCGGATATGTATTTATTTGTCTAGCTATGTGTGCAAAAGCATCGTCTCTGTTTTGAATGAAGATGTAACTGACAATTCGATTGCAGTTATTCTGTTCTCTTCTTTTGTTTCCTTTCTACAAGTGTTCTTTAATGTCTATCTATTCAATTATTTAAGTGGAGAGACCGTGTGACTCTATTTGGTTCCTGAAGCTGACATTTTGGACGGATAAGTTCGACTTGAAAGACCATGCTTGCATCTACCTGGCATGCTCATCTATATGTGCAAGCATATTCTTCGCAAATGTTTTTTTGTCCTTTCATACAAGCAATATTGGGGAGGGGGCAATTGAACCTAGAATCTCGGATACATGGATAAATGCTCTTAACCATTTGGGCTATAAGCCCCTTTCATTCTACGCCAATGCTGCCCAAAACATTATTCTTTTCATGGAGGTTTCTGAATTATCTTATTTCACACCTTAACCATTTTTAGTTAAAGGTTAAACATGGATATCTTGATTTTGTGAATTGGGGAAGACCGGATATGATCTAATTTCCACAACTTGTAGTTGGCCCTAAGTAATTTAATTGTAGGCGTTGTGGTATAACTAACTTTAAAATTTGAGAGTTTTTCCAACGAAGTTTTATGTTGGAACTTGAAACCCAAGTGAGAGTAGGCCCAAACGTTCCCGAAATATACGAATCTGGCCCAAAACTTGTGAGGCTTAAGATATTTTTGGATTCAAACTCGTGTGACAAATTTATTTAGTTTATGGAAAACCTGTGAGGCATGCAACTCAGGCTAAAAACATAATTATGGAAAACCTGTGAGTGAAAAGTATAGTTATTAGTTTATAGATATCCATATATGCAGTGCAGACCCAAAAAAGAAAAGAAAAGTTGACAGATTTTGTTGGATCTTTAAGAAAACAAAAAAGAAGATCCATTCCATATGTTAAGATTGGGAAGTTTTCAAGTTTCAACACCAGAAACATATCGAAATGCATTTTGTGCTTTTTCAGAAAGCTTCTTCAAAGTACTTTCCTTCTTTTGAGAGCATACATTCAAAGTAACTTTTGCTTTAATTCACACATACATACTAAAGTGCATGTCCAGAATGTGACCAAACGATAATGCCTAGATATATACGTATTATTCACACTTCATTTTGTAGCTTGTCAAAGAGCTCAAACTTCAAAATTCAAATTGCCCAAGAAGGCAAGAACCTCCTTAAAGAGAGTGCACCTGCGTATGGATTAGAATCGATTCGATCCATAAGCATGTAGAGCATCTCGAATGGGCTCTCTAAATGAGTTTATTAGTTAAAATTTAGACTAGAATTGAAAAACTATCAACTCCAACCATGCTTCCTATCCAACTCCTAAAACCGGGATACCTCTAGGCTCTAAATCTCTTTAGCAAAAATTAAACTTAAAAAAGGGTCATAATCAGAGACAACAAATAGAATGAATGAATGAATGTCAATCATTAAAATGAACAAACTCCCAACTGTTAACTGCACAAATCAAGGAACATGTGAAATGTCCCAAATTGGGGGAGTCATGGGCAATAATTGAAAATGAGGTTTGGGTTTTCTCCTCATTTTTATTATCCAACACTGCACCTCTTCTCCATGAATCACCTCTACAGTTTAAAATTTAATTGGTGACATACACAAATGGATGGCTTTCAATTAAAAAAAACCAAACAAAATAATCATTGCTAAAAAGAATTAAAATAATAGATCACATAGAACAAAGATGGAAGCTTCAAGCTCAAAGTCAATAGAGGGGGTTGATGGAGGCTTCAAGATTATAATAGATGAGCATGCAGCAGAGCTGCAGCAGGAGCTGTGTAAGATTTGAGTCCCAGTCCAGGCTTTACTTCACTTCGATTGTGACTTTGTGAGTCTACGAAGTTTTGACATCTCATGTGACCAAACAGATAAAGGCGGAACCACAACCAGCTCATTACTTGATTATTAATTAATTTGCTTTGGCCATTCAGAAGGAGCCAAAGAAAAAACAAAAAAACAAATGAAGAAAAACCAATGTGACTAATAAATGTTACCTAGAAACAGCCTAAAAACTCATTATTCCCGATTAAATCTCCTTTAGGTGGGTTGTTCTAGAAATGGGAAACAAATAGTAACGTTTCAACTAGGGCAATTTCTGAGTATTGATGAGATGCGGTACCATATAAATCAATTACTTACTCGTACGTGGGCAAATAGAAAGATTAAGTGGATGTGCCTTGATGTGCCTTGTGACTCTGTTCATAAGCGAATGACAATTTATGACTATTGATGAGATGCGGTACCATATAAATCAATGATAAAAAGTTACTTACTCGTACATGGGCGGCGAATAGAAAGACTAATATTAAGTTGATGTGCCTTGACGTGCCTTGTTGTGACTCTGTTCATAAGCGAATGACCGTAACACAGCTGATGCAGAGAATTACTAGTCGCTTCTTGAGTTATCTTGTCACCTTCAAATACAAAACTATGCATTATCTGGTGATGTCCGATGTGATTGATAAAAGTATTGGGTGGAAGAGCAAATCGACCACCTCCTTCGTGTTTCTTTCAACCAATTGTTTTAACAAATAATAATAATAAAATCTTATATAACCAAACTTTTAGATCAACTAATGTCTCGAACCATTTTTACAATCTTAACGTTATCTCCAACTCCCAGCCTCCAAGGTCATTAAAGATGCGATTGAATACGCCTAGAACTTGGAATATATACCCAACGAAAATACAAAATTAATTGAAAAGAATCATAAGCTATGTTGGCCAACTGCTAGTTTCAACGAATATAAGAAGGAAACGAAACCATCTTTGTCATGCTTGGTTTAGCCTAATGACACAAAATTCAACCACTTGGAACTATTAATTGTTAATTGTTTTGGTATGATGAAAAGTCAAGATACCCATTAGACGTAAAGAAGAATCGCATTAACAATTTGTATTAAACAAACAAACAATTGTGAAGCTTTGATTTGACTGTCCAATTTCAACATGGAAGCAAAAGGAACTCAAAACACCAAACTCCACCAAAGTTTGGTGCAATTGTTACATGATAAATAGTAGACTAATGTTATGACTATATTGGATTCAGAAAAACTTGGAATGAAACTTGTTGCTTGCTAACTAGAGTGCTGAAATGAACTTTTGACATTACATCACATAACCATAACACTGTTGTACTTGTACCTACAATATTCACATACATGGAACAAAGATAAAAAGTAGATCACTACAACCCCAAAATCTTTATAACAGCAATCTTAGGTTGCATGTGAGCACTCACTCTTACAAGCATATGCCTGAAACAACAGCAACCGCCGGATGCATTTCGATCACCAGCTCAGGCATAGGGGGGAAGGATCTGTGGTGTATAATCAACAGAGCATTGCTTTCTTCTGCGTCAGTCCAATCCAGATTCTTCAATCGAGAGGCACTGCAGTCAACATAGCCCGGCCACCAATGAGGCAAAATTGTTCTCTCCCTCTTCCTCTCCACTTTCAAACTCACGCAATCCGCAATTTCCCCCATTTCCCTCCAAGGACTGTGTTTTACCCTGATAATTCCATGTCAAACTAAATCAGTACCAAACCATGATTGAGTAATTGCTTTAGAAGTAGGGAGGCATCACTAAGATAACCATGATTGAGGCATCACATTAAGTACCAATCCAAGATTGAGTAATTACACTAGAAATAGGCATTCACAAAGATTACCAACACAGAATAAGACCTTTAAGAAAACAATAAAACATAGAAAGTGTAGAAAACTCAAAACTGATGTAAAACAAATGCATTCACATGTGGAGAACAATAACTAATACCAATTGGGTTTAGCCCATCTCCTCTCATTCAAATGGCGTACCCAAAAATACTACTCTATAATTCATTCATATCCTTGGACATCAGATACCCAATGCAAGTTCTGTTTTCTCATTCTCCAAAACCCTAAACATGCAAATCAACCCATTTCCCTATAATCCCATTAACGTTAAATTTAGAGCGACAAGGAAGAAATTTCAAGATATTATCATATAAAAGACTCATCATACGAATAAGAGATCATCTAATTGTGAATGCCTTCCGGTTCTAATGCATAATAAGACATCTTCCCCCAAAATTCAAAGTCAACAATCATTAAATTGAAGCGAAAAAGATGAAAGGCCAAGTAATCACTGAATTCAATCAGAACGATTCATACATGAACACAAAGTTGCAAAATTTACCTGAGACACCCGAAATTGAATCAGAAGGAGTTCATCTCAAGACAGTAAGTGCGCCTCTTGATCAGCATCTTGGCCGCTGTCCCATACGGCTCTTCAAAGGCAGTTGAAACCCAAGACAGATCAGACGAGACCTCCTTCTTCGAGGTCGCAGATTGCTCGCTGGGCCTTATAGCAACCAAAGTTGCACCCTTTAACACAACCCCATCAGGCAATTCCAAGTGGGGCGCGTACCAAAGCCTCATATTCAGGGCAGGCACCAGCGTCCTCTTCGACGCCGAAGAGGCCGACAATGGCTTCACCCTCAGCTCCTCCAGCTGGTCCCTGTTCATGTACAACACCCCCTGCCCATCAGCATCGGTCAGCACCAAGCTATCAAGCGTTTTGTGCGCCGTCCCGCACGGCTCTTCAAAGGCGGTTGAAACCCATCAGCATCTTGGCTACCGTCCAGTACAACACCCCCTGCCCATCAGCATCGGTCAGCACCAAGCTATCAAGCGGTTTGTGCTCGGAAATGATGGGCCGAAGCAGGTAGTGCCTGGCCGAGGCAGCGATCAACGAGCTTATCGTCCAGACCACCCTCAGCTTCAGGCCTCCGTTGGTGTAAAACGAGTCGGGTATGCTTCCGTTGTCGTCCGAAACGGCGCCGTTGGTGTTGGCGCAAAACCCATCTGACCCATTGTCCTGAACATCGGAAATTTTGGTGGGTCCCGAGTGGATGACCGAGGAGGCTCCGAGGATGACGCAGTTGTCTAAGGTGGAGCCAAAATCGGCCCTCCATTTGAGCAAAACGCCGTCATCGATGCCGAGCTCGCCGCTGGGGAGCTCGATCCGGAGGAAGCGAATCTCATTGAAGTTCTTAAGGACTTGAGTCGGGGAGTGGTGTGTGACACCGGATTGGTCGAAGCTGCTGCTGTCAGCGGCGGATGAGTCGGGGTCGTCGACGGCGAGGGCGGAGTGGGACCCATTTGTGGATCGTCTTGAGGGGCCCAGGAACTGGCCGAGGGCCTGGAGAGGCTTGACAATGCCGCCGAGGACGAGGCGGAAGAGGGCGGAGAAGGGAGTCCGGGACTTGTCGGAGGAAGATGAGGAGGAGGCGGAGGAGGGGGAAGATTCGTCGTCGGAGATAACGCAGTCGACGCGGACGACGACGTTTTCGACTTGGGGGACGAGGGAGTGGAAGCGGCGCGAAACGACACAGCATCGGCCTAGGGCCTTGACGTCGCCGATCTTGTTGAAGACTAGGAGGAGGAGGGAGTCCGGGAGGCGATCGAAGAGGTCGTCGTCTATGTAAGAGGGCTCTGGGTAGACTCGGGAAGAGAAGGTCAGATCTGAGCGCAGAGACGACATCGTTTCGATTTGGGGACTGGTGGGTTTGTGGGTTTGAGATGGAGGAAGGAGAAGATCAGATTAGGGCTGAGGTGGGTAGATCTGAGAGGGGGAGAAATGGCATGGCAGAGTTCAGAGAGGGTCTCGAAGGGGAGAGAGAGAGAGAGATGAGATAGAGAGAGAAAGGGGAAATGGGAAATGGTTGGAGGAGGAGATATATCCACGCACGCTTATGGGTTATAGGCTTGTTGTTTCTGTCATTTTAGGATCCGCACAGAGACAGAGAGAGAGAGAGAGAGAGAGAGAGAGAGATTATATGAAATGGAAATGGAAATGGAAATGATAATTTGAGAGATTGACAGAGGTGGGCACAGCTCAATGTCTGCGTCTGTAAATTTTATTCTTACTTTTGTCTTCAACTTTGCTCTGCCTTTTTCTTTTTTTCATTCTAACTTGATTCTTTTCCTTGTTTGCTATTTCTATTTCAGCTTGGAAAATAAATTTTAAATGGAATCAATCTTTTTAGCTTTTTTTTAAAATTAAAATATTTACTTAGCCGTATATATGTCTTTTTCTCCAAAGCATTGTGGAGGCGTATCTCTCAAAATATTAAATTGAAATTTGATGACTTACGTGACAATTTAACGACTCCTCGAAGATACTCTAATGCTCGTTTAGAAATTTAGAATAACAATAATAAATTCCAAGTTCCAATTTGTTTTTAAGGTGAGGAAAGTAAGATGGTGGTGGATAGGTAGGGCTATCTGCAAAATGTGGTCGGGTAAAGACGTAAAAAGCCGCAACAAAGGGCCGCAAAGTATTTAGGTCAAGTTGGGTTGGCTTCGGCTTAGCGCTCTCTGCCCCGATTTTATTTCCTTTTTCTTTTTTTATCTATCTTATTTTATGCTTTCAAATTGCTTTTACTTTCTTTTAAAACGAATTTAATTACTATTTTGTACCTGAAATGACGTTTTGGGCTGAACTATAATCCCAGAAAAGAAAGAGGATGATAAGTTTGATTCAGATGAAAGCAAAGTATGGAAACGGGACCCACCTCCTGTTCTTTCCCATTAATTTGGGGCCACATCGAAATTATTTTTTCTTTTAGTAAATATTAAGAGATGTTCCCACACTTGAAGAAGTGGGATTAATTCCCACTCGGAATTCGGCTTGTCTCTGACCACAAAGTATATTTATAGTCTTTAATTTGGCTAGTAAAATACAATATAGAGTATGTCGTACAAAGACGTTCCTCAAATAATCATACAAATTGAGGTTTTTTTTGGGATAATTAAGCGTATAATTTGAATGTGTATCAATGATTTTTTAGACTTGAGTTGAAGATCCACATAAGAATGAGTTAGGAAACAAAGAATACCAATAATGTGATCAAGTATAGCTGTTATTTGAAGGATAAAATGTCAGAAAATAATAAGTTGGTGATGATGACTAAATCGATGGACCTCAACAAAACAAATCAAATCCGAATCATGCATACAAATTTTTAAGATGAATAAAATCCAATTATATTACTCATAATTTCAGAATTACACACGTAATGCCAAAGCAAATACCTTATAATTAATTAATTAATTAATTAATTACTCGATCATTGCCTCGGAAGCCCAAATAAAATGCAGTTTGTATCCCATCCAGGTGTCACATAAGCATGTGCAATTAAATTTAAGCATAAAAATAAAATATAAAATAAAAAACATATATATCCAATAAAAGAAAATCACACGCACGTTGTGGGCCTTGTGACATGCCATGTGTTCTTAAAAACGTTTCCATAGTTTCAAGCAAGCATATGATGCCGTGGCGTCCGTACTAGTTTGATGGTACAAATTACAAACATAAAAATTTACCTAATTCATTTACCACCCCCCCAATTCCATGTCAAATTCAATGTTTTGGTCAAATTCAAAATTTACCTAATTGATTTCGAATTGATAACGACTTGGATGGT